AAAGTTGGCTTTGGAAATACTTACCGTTACCACACGGGCGATGAAAAGAAAGGCGAGTTCGTCTGATACTTTAGACGCTCGTACGTTACCAGAAAGGAGGAGGGTTAGGCGAGCAAACCCTCGAAGTAGTATAAACAAGGATGGGTCCTCTGAGGTCAACTCGGAGGTCTTGAAAGATGGTGCGATGCCGGGGATGCCGGAAACAGTTAAGGACGACAAGGTCATTGAACCCGGTAACCCGCAGAGTGGCGTTCGGATTGATGGACCAATAAATTTAAATCCATCTGAACTAACTCCTCAACTGTACTCACGGGATGACGTAATGCAACACCAGTCAGAACGTGAGAAAGAAAACCCTGCTGGGCTAAGTTCCGCATCATCAACTGATGGTGATAACCGGAAGCAGAACGTTGAAACGGACTCGGAACCAAGAAGCGAGAGCGAAGAACTCACTCCGGAAGGAGGCCAACTCCGGGACGTGAACGAGGAAGAAGAGACTGACGAACTAGATCAAGAATCGCAGGAAGCCATTATTCCCAGCAACCCGGTCGATTCGGAACATAAGGATGGATCAGTGCTAAAAGATGTTGACAACATACCAGATTGGAGAATTCCAATCAGAAAGTATATTGAAACTGGAGATGTTCCCAAGAATAAGTGGGAAGCAAGAAAGTTAAAGGGGCACGTCCTCTCGGTCTACGAGATGACATGATAAATAAGAAAGTACGCCAATATCGCGCAATGGATACGAACGAATTGACAAGCTTTTAAGTAATGCCCTCGACTAACCTTTACAATTTGGGTCGTACGGTCCTAGAGCTCGAAGCCGCGTTGCGGAGTCGTTGATTCGGGAACGAGTGAATGAGGGCCAAGACGTGTCCCCCAGCCGTAGAAAGTCTAGAAAGATATCGACCTCGAGCGAATCCGGAGCTTTCGGTAAAGGCGCTACGGAAAAGAAAAACAATAAAAGCGAGTTAGTACTCAAAAACAATATGGGGAAAGCAACAACACGATCCTATTTGTACCAATATTCGAAGACCAAGCAGTTGGGACTATGGAAGTTAGTCCTCCAAAGGAGAACTCATTAACAGAAAAGAAAAAGAAACGCTTCTGCCATTTCTCATCCTTAGGAGGACGATCGGATATAACCCGACGTCCTTCCTTGATGGCAATATAAAAGTTGCCTTTGCGATCAGAACTCTTGCGAATCATGCATACGCGAGCTAGGGTAGGAATGTCGAGTGGAAGCCCACGCTCCTCAGCTAGAGTCTGCAA